GACAGAGCCCTGCTGGGGCCGCTTGGGGTGGGGGTAGCAGGAAGCAGGGGCGCTGTATGAAAACGCTCGGGCTGGGCATTTAATGCCAGTGGGAGGAGGCTGGGCCTTTGCGTGAGCGGCAGGATGACACCAGAGGTGCCCTTTGTGCTGCCTGGGGCGCGCCAGTGGCCCCTGCAAAGCTACTTCCATCACGCTGAAATTGTTCGGATTTCAATGGGTAGCTATTGTCATAGGCCAGTAGCAAAAATCCCCAGCAGCCAGAGATGGGGCACTCGATGGGGAGGGCTCTGCGTTACTACAGAGAATTCTTTCCCAGGGGTCTGCCTGCTGGGTCTTGCCCACTTGCTTAGGCTCTAATTGATCACCATATTTGAGGTCAGGAAGGAATTTTCTCCCAGGTTAGATTGTCCAAGATCCTGGGGATTTTTTGCCTTCCTCTGCAGTGTGGGGCATGGTTCGCTTCCAGGTTTAAACTAGTGTCAGTGGTGGAGTCTCTGTAACTTGAAATCTTTATATCCTGATTTGAGGACGTCAGAAACTCAGCCGGTACAGGAGTGGGTGGGTGAGGTTCTGTGGCCTGCAATGTGCAGGAGGTCAGACTAGATGGTCCTGATGGTCCCTTCTGACTGTAAAGTCAATAATAGGAGAGATCAATGGTGGCCCTGTTCGCTGAAGAGCAGAGAGCAGGTGCATGTACTGTCCCCCTGCTTAGTGTTCCCGACACAACAGTTGATTGCACAGGACAGACTTCACTCCCTGTCCCAGCTGGGATGTGTCCCTGACTCCATCTCTGGGACTAAGCGAGGAGAGGCCCCATGGCCCATCCATTATTTTCCCTCTCTTGCATCCTTTTTGGGTCTGCCTCTGCTTTAGCCTGCTGTAGGTTTTGCCCAGACTTCCCCTGAGGATTTCAGCAGACAGACTCCTCCGCCCCGCCAGAGCTAAGTGCATTGCACTCTGACTGTGGTGAGCGAGCCAGACAGCTGCAGACATTGGGGGAGATGCAAAGGAAAGACGAGTGAGCCCGGATACAAGAGAAATCGACCTCTTGGCTTATCAGAGCAGTCGATGTCTCCAACTGGTGTGGAAATAGAGGCACTCCCTTAAAAACACCAAGCTTCAGAGAGCTGAATGCTTTCAAACTGCGTGTGTGCAGGCTGGAGAGGCGCAAATCCATCTCCAGGCCATCCCACATGGGGTACGTGAGAGGGAGCCCCTGGAAGGGTTCAGAAAGCTGTAGCTGAGCATTGCTGCTGCCCCCAGCAGGGGTCACTGTAGCATACAGCAAAGCCCACAGCTGATCAGCCCCTCACCTCTGGAGTTGCAGGGGGAACCCTGTAGCTGAGAGTTTTCCCTGATGCTCATTTTTGTGTCACACCAGGGGGGAAGGGTTACAGCCTGGAGCCCTCTGATGATGCTGCGGCCTTTGAGGAGTGGCTGCAGTGTTATTGTGTCCCTGGCATGAGGTCGCTGCGTGATGGCAATGGCAGGACCATCTGGTTTCAGGTATGAACCGCGGTGGTCTTGCATTTGGCGGGGCTTGACTCATGATTGCTGTCCCTACCGTGGGGCTTGACCCTGCTGCAAGAGGAGACCGGCAGGACACCTACCCCAGGGCTGGACTAATGCAGGGGCTTTTGGGGCTGCAGCCCATGGCCTCGGGCTAAGGGGGGCTCTGTGGGCCAGGTGTGGCCCACTGCTTCTTTTAATCCAGCTCACGGCAAGTCTCAGCACCGCAGGCCGGACACCTGTCCCCTAGCCGGCAAGTCTCAGTGCCGCAGGCCGGACACCTGTCCCCTAGCCTCGGCGCCCCATCCTGGAGCTGCGAGCGCCAGCTAGCCAATGTGCCCCTGAGGCCCCTAGGTGGGGGTGTTCAGGGAATCTCTGTGCACCAGCTCTGCAGCTCCCATTGGTTGGGTACTGTGGCCAATGGGAGCTGCGGAGGCAGCACCTGCAGGCATGGGCAGTGTGCACCGCGCAGAGCAGCCTGGCCCCTCTGCCTAGGGGCTGGACATGTCAGCCACCTCTGGGAGCAGAAAAGCGTGGAGCCAGGGCAGGCAGGAATCCTGCCTTTGCCCTGTTGTGCCGCCGGCCAGAGCCTACACCCTGCACCCTAATCCCCTGCTCCAGCCCTGAGCCCATTCCCCACTCCAAACTCCCAGAGCCCCACAAAATCTAATAGCCCCAGGCCCACAGGAGAGAGCGCTCTGCAACATCAGGAAACATTAGCTAAGCCTAGAACAAAGTCTGTCCCTTTGTTACCCGCACAAAATTCTCTGTCACTTGCACACTCTAGAGCACCCACCTCTACCTAGTTCCTACGGCTCAGGTATAACGCTCTTAATTTAGGCACTCTAACTTAACCCCTCTGTGGGCTCCAGGCTCTACTCCAGGCTCAGAGCAAATACGCATTCCCTCTGGACTCCGGGCCTAATCTTTTTGAGGGTTTACAGGGTCTTTTACCAGTCAAAGAGCCTTACACAGTAATATCCTTAACCTCTATTTCAGGGGTAAGCAACCTATGGCACGGGTGCCGAAGGCGGCACGCGAGCTGATTTTCGGCGGCACTCACACTGCCCGGGTCCTGGCCACCGCTCTGGGGGGTTCTGCATTTTAATTTAATTTTAAATGAAGCTTCTTAAGCATTTTAAAAACCTTATTTACTTTACATACAACACTAGTTTAGTTATATATTATAGACTTATAGAAAGAGACCTTCTAAAACTGTTTAAATGTATTACTAGCACGCAAAACCTTAAATTCGAGTGAATAAATGAAGACTCGGCACATCACTTCTGAAAGGTTGCCGACCCCTGCTCTATTTATTAACAGTCACCAAAACAGAATGCACATGCTACACATACAATGCTCACCACTCCCAATAAGACAGATGAATTTTCCCTGCTGGTCAATCAGGATCAGGTTATCTGGGGGACTCCAGTTTCTGCATGGTGTGATTGGCGGTGTGTTGAGGTCTGGCAGCTCTGATCCTGGGGCTAGAGTTGGTTCCCAAGAACTTCCTTTTGGACCCCAGTTTATATAGTGAAACTTGAGTCCTGCTAAGCTATACCGTAACCAATCATTTTACTAAAATTTTAGTAACCAATCCTAACCTATTGTAACAAAATTCTCTAACCAATCATACCCCCTACCTTCATTAATTTACACCTAGCAAAATTAATTATGTAAGACAGAAACAATCAAAGAACCAGACAAAGATAATACAGACAAATAATAGGGAAGTGGGGACAATAAAGACAAAACAATAAAGAAGTGAGAATTTCACAACCACAACTATTGATAAATGATTTCTTGCCAGATGGAATGCTGTCAAACTAAGTTTTCTTTAGCCATCTTAAGATCCGTTTCTTTATCTGGTGCTAGTGGGTGCTATTAGGACAGGCTCTCCTTCTGAACAGCCAGATGCTACATTGTTTTAATGTAATTTAGATGGAAAGTGAGGATGTGACTTCCTGTTTCTTAGCTAATGGCTGCTGCTCTCAATATGGCTGCAGACAAAGGCCTTAGGCCTTACCATATGGCTACAAGAAAAGGCCTTATCCCTAAACGTAGAGACTCAGAGATCTCTCCCGGTCACCAGCAAGGAAATCCTGTGCTCAAGAAATCCTGTCCCGCTCACCTGGGCAACTTAGAGGAGGGGGTGGAAAGAAATGGATGAGACAAACACCAAGTCTAGGGTGCCAACATTTGGGCTTTTACACTACTTTGAGTGAGCTACTGCTGCTCCAAGACGCCGTTCTGTCACTACCTGTTGCTCTGGCTAATTTACGGGTGCCCCTGCTGCAGGGTCTGGCAGCATTGCTGAGACCTTTGATGCCTGATGGGGGTTTGAACTGCCCTTTGCATTGGGCTAGGGCACTGTCTAAAAGCTTTTTCTTCCTTTGCAGGGGGAGCCTGGACCTATGGCCCCGAAAGGTGAACATCAGCTTTACTCTTCCATGCTTTGCAGGGTTCTCTTGCTTCTGGTTGGGTTGGGAGAGGCAGGGAGATCCGTCGCTTGCTGTGGAATTATTAAGGTTAAGGAAACAAGTGATGCTCTTCTCAAACTCTAGCTCACTGCCCTGAATCCAGTAGTGGTTACGCATCATTATCCCGGGTGACCGTTCAGCAGCCCGGGTGAAAGGAGATAGTGAGTCTCCAAGGGTCCCATTATTGTTGGCAGCCCAGTATCAAGTGGCCTGTGTACCCTACAAGTGTCCTTGCACATGAACATGGGGAAGCTAGCACTGTCCTCTCTGTGCTATACCTGCTCTGTGGAGGGAGAGCTATGCAAACCAGCGCACTCTGAGCACCCTCAGTACACTCAGGTCATGTATAGTCCAGACAAGATGTCCCCAAAACCAGGCCAGCTGTGTCCAACCTCTCTCAGAACCATCTCCAAGCTTTCAGACCAGCTGGGGGAGCTTTCTTCCTTGGATGGCTTCCCAGAGGGAAAGAGGGCTGGGGATTAGACCTCTGACTCAGCTGCAGTCAGGCCCCTTTCTCGCCTCCAGAGTTAAACTGTCATCTTAACATTCTCTCCTGCAGGAGAAAAGTCCCGCAAGAGGCGTTCGCGGGTGAATGCTGACCCTGAGCCTCCAAGTCCAAAGGTACAGAGCCTTTGTCTAGACATCTCCTGTATCTCAGTTTTTATGGGGGCCCCTCTACTCCCAGAGTCATTCTCCTGCTGCCCCATTGTGCATTTCATTGGATCTTTGTATGGAAGAAGTTAAACACCATCTCAGCCCCTTCATTATTCCCAGATGAGAAAACTAGAACAGAGAGAGACCAATGTGTTGCCATTAGGATTTGGTGAATCGGGACTAGAACTAATAGACCCCAACCTCGCACTCTTGTCCTCTAAACACTACCCTAGATAATACCACCTCTCAACTAGCCCCCTAAGTCATGGACACTTTACTGGTGTGTATCCTGACACTAGGCGCGTGTGTGCATGTTTGTACACACATCTCTGTAGAGAGGCTTAGCATCCCAGAGATATTCTGATAGCTGGGATCTCAACCCCACGCTCTCATTAAGCTCATCTCAGGATGACACGAACACAGTATAAGAATAACAGGTTACTTTATTTTTTAGTAGTCTCTGCTGGTTCTTATCCACTGGCCTCAGGGATGGGGTTAAAGAAACACACTGCTATTGTCCAGACATTATTTAATCTCACGTTTGAAGGTGAGCAATGTACTGCAAATGTCTGTTACTTGAATAAGAGACAAATCGCTAACAGGGTCATGCTGACCAAGGGGTGTCTTTGGAACAACGGAAGTTGTGCAACTTGGCGAAAGGAAGCATCTTAAGGGTGGGTACAAATGCAGCTCTTTTTAACTGCTTAAGTTCCTGCAAAACGTTTAATCAAAATACAGCTATTATTGACCCGAGGCTGTGGCATATGTTACTGGTACTACTGCCCTTGTTTGGGTTAATAGTGAAACAGCGAATCTAGTCCCCTTTGTTGTTAAACTGTGCAAATCCGCATCTCTGATTGTCAGACTGTCAAATACCAGTGTCTGTTTGTCTGTGTAACATAGGCACTATCAGAATAAATATGATTCTTTCTAAGGGCCAGCCAAGAACCCCACCGCACTAGGTGCGGTACAGACAGAGTAGCCGATGGTCCCTGCTCCAAATCCAATGATGTGAGCTCTGTCTTTGCCTTGCACAGCACCAAATGTTCTCTCAGTGTTTATTGTAAGGGTTAGTAGTGGCTGTGTGAACAGCTGGTGATGTGCATTCCTGAGGTGGAAAACTTTAGGGAGAACAAGGCCAAATTTTCACATTTGGTGCCTGACTTTAGGCAGGTTAAGTTTTAAAACTTGCCCCAGTTTGCTCCCAGCTGATGTGTGTGGAGTAAACTCCATCGAACAGATGGTTCAAACTGTGCATCTGAAGGTTGGTCCCAGAACAGCTACAGCACTTCCCACAACAGCCTTTGCTCCCGGTTCCCCTGAACTTTCTAGTGAGATCCCCAAACAGACAGAGGAAGCTAAAGTCGCTTCCCCGTGACTGAGAGCGCATGTTTCAATCATCTGCCTAGGCCACAAAGCCGGTGCCGAAGAGACGTTCGAAGGGTAGCAGCGGCCAAGAGAAGGTAGCAAAGCGATCTGGCAGGAAGAAGGGGAAAGAGCTCGTCCAAGGAGCCGAGAACGCCAAGGCAAATGAAGCAAGAAAGCCAAACGCCAGGTCCAGAAGGAAAGCATCCGCAAGTCAAGGGTCTCCCATGAACGAAGCTCCTGCTGCAGATAGGAAGAGGCAGGCATCTGCTCGGAGAAGCACAGGTTAGAATGCTGCACTGGCTCCAACATAAGCATGGGAGGGGGATAGGCCCAGATGGCTTATGCTGGTCAAGGTCCGTCTGGCATTTTTTCAAAAGTAGAATAAAAGAGCTAGTGTTCTGCAGGGAAAGGGAAGCCCCATCCACCACCCACGCTCTGTAGGATTGTTGGCCAGGCACTGGAGTTAGAAACTCTGAAGCTAATTCTCGGTGCACG